AGTAAGTGAACGAGAAAATAAACGAATTAAGTGACACTCGATTAAAAGTTTTCAGTCGTTTTATCATTTTAATTGTTTTTAATCGTTTTAAAGTTTAAGTTGTATTATTCGATGATATTTTACAATTGCATACTGAAAAAATTTCTGGTTGAAAAAGGACGAATCAGAAATTTTTGGTTAAATTTATTAGAATTCTAGTTATAGAATTCTGGTTGATACAATATTTCTGGTAAAATCTATTAAAATTCTTATATTTTTTTGCCAGAATAATTATATTAATTAGAATTCTAATTATCTCAAATAGAATTCCAGTAGATTTAACCAGAAAATTCTGATTCGTCCATTTTCCAACAAAATTATTATTTAATCCAATTAGACTATTTTTTTTAGTGCATAATTCTCAAAAAAATTCTTTATATATCATACTCTAGTCACAGGACACTTATATTTGATAACATTTAAGAAATATATAATAATTTTACATGAAAAGAGATAGAACAAATTTTTATCTTTATTTTCGAGAAAATTACTGTTAAAAACTGAAAAATTAGTAATATCTTTTTCCCTTTTAAGCGTACATGATTTTCCTGTCATAAAGTTATAGTGAAGCTTGTTGAAAATAACGGGAAATAAAAGTAGTCTTGAAATCTGGAATTATTTCTCTTTAATACAAATTTTCACAAAGTTAAAGAAAAAATTTTCATAATTGATAAGCGTACGCGTCTATTTTTCTTTTCTCCCCTCACGCGGATAATTTGACAGGAAAGCAGCGCGTAGCGGTTCGACTGGAAACATCGAGGCAAAATTTTATACGTTGCATATTGCCTGAGCAAGTCAGCGCGTCCAGCCATTCTTTATTAAAGGGCATACCGATCCAGAAGGCTTCAAGGCCTCTTGCGTGATGAATGTAAGGTTGAACTCTTGTAACCTAACCCGTCTCGACCTAGCCTACCTTTACCTAAAGGACGTACCTTTAACTCTGTTTAACTTCCACCTGAATTAGCTTTCATCTACCTTGCGGGTCGTTCCACACATTGTTCTCCGCAATCTAACTCGACGTCGTTTACATTTCGCAGTGGCCCGTGCTAATGTTTAAACCCTTCACCGTTCACCGCGATCACTTTGCTCGGTAAAACATCTATTACCTATAAAAATTTACCGCCTGAGGCACACATTTTGTTATATCCCGTGAGTTGAAATAAAATCTTGTGAGAATTATGAATTTTTAATTCCTTTTTGATACATTGAGAACAATTTCTGGCTGAAAACAAATAAGCCAGAAGATTCTGCAGATCATATCAGTCAGAATTCTGGATATCTTAACTACTAGAATTATATAATATTTTTCTTATTTTAGTAATAACGCAATAATTTTACCAATACAATTACGCGTTTGCTTTTGTTTTTCTTACGTATACGTTCGTTAATTAAAATTCCGATAAAGTGGAACGTTTCTTTGGATTAGATTAAAGAATAGGGAAATATTAAAGAATGGGAATTTTTTAGTAGCTTGTACCTGAAGAAATAGGTCGTTGCCGCATTCTTTTTTTTTTTACTAAGAAAGTATTTTTAAATCAGTCAAAGAATACGAACGTGAAAGAAGATGCAAAAACATTCTAAAAAAAACTTTATAGTATATATAGATCTCCTGCAATTAATTACGTAAAGTAATGCACTGTCGGTGCATACGAAGAAGTGTCTTACGTTGAAAACACTCTGCTTCCATCGATCGAATTTGACATCGCGTGCAGAAAACAATTTGAGAAAAAAAAAAACAAAGTAGGATGTCCAACGATCGACTCAAGTCGCAGGCCTTCGTACCAGTAAAGCCCGAGCTTGTCTGCGCAATAAGGATCCGAAGCATTACGGACAACCTAGGTCGGTCCCGTCCCATCTCACCCTCAGACGGAATGTTTTGCATTTTAAGAAGGTGTCGGATATCCTTTGCGTTATCCGAAGACAGGCCTTCCCTGTTGCCTCGCGCTTGTCGCGAAGCGAGGGTACGGAGGAAAGAAGGGAAAAAGGTGGAGGGAGACACGAGAGGCAGAGAAGAGCGATCCCTCCCTTGAAATCCGTAGTAATTCACGGTCCTGTATTACGTGGCAAAAAGAACACCCCTCCCCTCCCCTTCCCTTCGGCGAGACGACCGATGCCAGCAGGGTCGCTTTACAGTGAACGAACGGAGAATTCGCACGAGCGTGTTAGCAGAAGCGTCCGATGTTAGCTACATTTAATGATATTTATTTTAGGTACACGTTACCTTCGTCGACATTACAAATTACAGTTCCAATATTCTTGAAAATTTCTCAATCTTAATATAACGTTTTATATATTTTATAGACAAATCCAATTTTTTGTATGAAAAACTAACAGAATAGAAATAGATTTTTCTTTTTTTTTCTTTTGTTATTTCATAATACCTGCATTACAAGAAATGTCATGGAAACTTTCTTTAATTACTTTTACTTGTATGTAACATTAAGAATCTATTTATAAAAAATATATTTGTAATGTATTACAAAGTATAATATCATGGATAAAGATTGAAGTAATATCGTGTAATATTACTAAAAAATATATATATATTTCTCAAAATAAGAAATTTTTAAAACTTTCGATGATTCAAGACTTCCCAAGAATATTAAAAAATTGTTCATTTCCGAATAACGTATGAAACAATTCGAGATTCTTATCACACATTCGAATAGATTTACACTTTGTATTTGTTATTAGTTGTAGGATATCATTTATAATAAACGATGGAAGAGTAATATTCTATAAGTAAAATTAATAAAGGAAACGAAAATTTGGAAAAGTCGCTGTGAGCAAACGAAAGAATTGAAAAATAGTCATCGGAAAAAGGATTGGTTGGACTCTCGTGTGGTCATTTTCTAGAGGACTCGAAGGACAATCGCATTTAATCGAGTCGCCGTTTACCGAGGCTCTTGCTTAAAGGAGATCCCAGATGAAACGAGAGCAAACTCGATCGTTCCGGTATCTAGGAGCCGACGAACTCTGTTTTTCTTCCTTTTCCAGAAAACCCCTTTTAAAAAGCAGTTTCTCTGTACTGTAAGATACATTTCTCAAGTTGTCTTTTAATGATTTGATTTTATTAAATAATTAAAATTAGTTATTAATTTACGGGGAGATTTGCGGGTTGTGCAACCATTGTGCAATAAATGACAGAAAATTGGTAAATTCAAAGAAAAAGATTATAAGACGGATCTTATTTCTTTGAGAAATTGCGACTGTGTAAAAGAAATATTCTATAAATCAAGAAATAGATGTGTATAAGGAAAAATAAACAGACATTTAAAAAACTCATTTATAATTAAACTACGTTATTTCGTAAGTTTAAGGGAAAAATTTATCTGTCCATCATATGAAAAGTCTTTCGTTTTATAAAATAAAGTTTCTACCATTTTTGACATGAGTACAGAGAGAAAAGAACATTTAATTCTCGGTGGAATTTATAAAGTTAGCTTCTCCGTCCTTGATTTTGTTCGACGAATAACTGATATATTATTTAAATACTGAAATCATTTATGTGATTTCGAGCATCTTTTCATCGTATGCGTCAGCTCAGATTTTTCACGTATAATTTCAAATCGACACCTTCTACTCATTGATTTCTATCCCGGGAATAACGCGTTTGGACAAAAATTCCAATTTAATTCCGTTATTCTCTACATTCGAGAAACGCAGTCGTTTGCTTTTGTTTATATTCTTACTACTTGTGCAATCGCCAATCATTGATATCTAACTTGTTTTGCATGATATTTTCCTCGTGAACATTGCGATACTTTGCGGAAGAAGATGGGTTAGGTATATTCTTATAAGGTTTAAGTTAAATTGGAGCGCTCTTACCTCGAGGAAGTGTTATCACCAGCGCCGACAACAACGACAGAAGCTGTTCATCGAAATGGGATTACTTTTTTTATTAAAGGACCGCATGATACGCATTTAGGATTCACGGCATATAGCAAAAATTAAGTCCATCTTTTTCCATGTTATGTTTATATAAAACTTTAAATATACTCTTCTTTCTCTCTCAACTCTCTCAACCCACATGAAAATGCATAGTTGTGTTCTTACGCCCATTTTTTACACATGTAAAACATTTCTATTTTTTAAGTTATGTTTAGAAGACATTAAAAACATATTATTGCAATTTTGACGTATTAACTAAAATTATGAAAAATAATTTCTATATTTTAATATTTAATATGCATATTTTAATGTTTTATAATATGATTAAATTATTAATTAATATATAATTTCTTTTCAATAATTATTTTATTAAAATAATTATTTATTAAAATAATGATGGAGAAATTGAAATTAAAATTGAAGCTCTCGAAAAATTTTTATGAGAGAAAAAGAAATAATAAAAGAACTATTGCCAGAAGGCAATATTGGTGCGTAAGCATTTATATCATGTATATTATGTATATAATTGTTTGTGTAATATTTCCATTTCGCTTCTATAATGATCGAAGAGATAATGGAAAATCGCAAAAAAGATCGAACATTTTAACACAAATATTTGCCTATCTATGTCCTGGCACCTTTTTATCGTATAATCGAACAGATCGTTAGCAGACTGATAGTTAAGGCCACGTGCCACAATGTGTTTTGTTTTGTTTATTGGCCTTTTCTATCATACAATCATTAATACCAATATTTAAGTAATAATGCCGTTGAAATATAATTGGAAAATTCTTTTTATACTGACTTCGATTCGAGAGTGATAATACAGCAGAGTGTGATTTGGGATCTATATATCCTAAGAAATAAATTCGTTCGATTTTAGAATGCCAAAAACTGAATTCTCAAAAAAATTCGCAATCGTCTCGAGTCATCCCTTTGCAACGCGCTCGCCACCAAGCCGGTGAGCGAGATTTATAGACGCGTGGAAGGGATATCGATCGCGTAGGCCCATCGTGTATTGTTAGTAATTGGAACATTTATGAGCCAATCAATCACTTCTGCTGTTGCAGTCCCCCCTATGCTCTGGATACCGCACCAATTGGTCGGCGCGCCCCTGGGTTACTCCGTTATTCTGGAATGTTATACCGAGGCTCATCCGACTTCTTTGAATTACTGGGCGAGGGAGGACGGCCTAATGATTCACGAGAGCAGTAAATACAAGACTGTGTCGTTACCCGATAAGCCATCTTACAAGACGCATATGATGCTCACGATAAACGATATACAGGTGAGTGGAAGCATGCATCTTATCGATGATCAACAATTCCGTTTGGTTCTCAAATGAAGCTCATTCAAAAATTCTTAAAAAATTCCTCGTATTTTCAGCCGCATAGAAACGATTTACGAAAAAAGACAAAAGACAGATTTTTTTTACTTGAATGAGGTTTTATCATTAATGATATAAATCATTAATGGTATAAAAATATCTTCATCTCTTTCACTACGTTATACGAAACTTAAGCGCTATTTTTTCTGCATGTTTAATGAATTAGAATTGCACGTTAAAATGCAACATAATTGCTGTAAAAAAAAAGACATGGCTTAATTATGTACACCGCGTTAAAATTCACGATTGGATAATAGTACCATATCGTAAATCACGATCGTTCCACACTGGCGATGAGCGCGACAGACGATGAGCGTAATAAAACACTCGTTTAGAGAATTTGCGTACAAAATAAAAATGCATAATATACGGCGTTATACATATACGGCATTATGTACGGTTAAATAGATATCACAATAATTTATCATTATTCAATAATAATGATATTAACATTTTAGAAGACGTGACTAATTTTCATTTATTAATATAGCCAAATAAAAAATCCAGGAATCATCACTTTTTGTAATAATTCTTTTTTGTTTTCTTTTTTAAATATTTTGTGCATGTAGCACAATTCCAAATTTAGAAGACTAATAGAGATCTCTGTACTGTCCAATTACATAGTTATCATATTTATTTATTTATTTATTTACCGCGCATCGATAAAGAATTACAAAGTTAATAATGATGACTACAGTAATAGATAAGAAAATAAATGTAAAAACACACAAAATAAGGCATCAGCAGAAACTGCTGCTCTAACGTCTATCAGAAAAGAGAGAAAGAGCAATGAGTTACGATTACAAAAGCAATGAGAACGAAACAAGAACAATTTGACAGCAGATTGTTAATTCTTCTCGGTTAGGGGTTAAAAAAATACTTCGTATGATTCTATTTTATATTAATTATAACAAAATAAATTCAACAAAGTTACGATTATACAGAATGATAAAATTTCGTTTTAAAATTTAAGTTGATAATTAATAAGAAATATTTTATTATATTTACTCCATTAAAATTTCTATGCATTTTAGAGAGTAATTTGCTCGCGCCGGTTTACTTTCAGAGAGAAGACTACGGTAGCTACAAGTGTATCGCCAAGAACCCACGTGGAGAAACCGACGGGACGATTCGTCTGTACAGTAAGTGTCTCGTTTTGCCTGCATGCGCCCCGAGCCATCCCTTCAGTACCGTTTACCAAGGTAATGACGGTTCGTCGCGAGCTGTTTGGCGCGTTTATGTCGTGCTGTCATTCCCCGGTTGTTTACGAAGTCGACGAAGACGGTCGGTTCTCAACGAACTACGTAATTTCTACAGCACACCCGTTGACGGATACCGTGGTTTCTTCGGGCAACGCGCGTTCAGTATACGGTTTGACACGGTTAAACTCCACGACGTCACGCGATCTTCCTCCTAGACAAATATACCGACGTTAATTACCTCTACCTAATATTTGCCAACAGATCGCGATTCGCAGTGGCACTTTCCTTGAATTAAATCGCAACATTAGTTGGCTACAGTTTAACGCGGCCGTGTAAATACAAAAAACAGTTCTATGTACTACCGTTTAGAGTTTACTCTTGACTGGATCTCAATATTTCCACATTTTTAATATGACGCGTGTACTTTTTCCTCATTTTTTTTTCTTTTCGATTCGTTAGTTCTCGCGTGCGTTATACGTTACCTTCGCCGTGTGCGAGGGAATAAAATGCATACAATCAAGGATTTCATCTGCGGCTTACAGCTATAATAAAATTGGAGATATGGATGAAATATGGAGACGATCGTACGCATGTATCTCGTGAAAAAGAGTATGAATCGGGACATGTAGAATCGAGCAAATAGAATCGATGGCGCTTACGAAAACGAATGCGGGATCACTCCATTAGTATGGATCGGTTTTTCGCATTAGCAATATTCAAATGAAGCGAACATTTAGCATAAAAGACTACGGATAAGAGAGAAGGTGGTGAAATGTAAACCTTTCTAGATGGAAAATAAAGGGCGAAAACGATTGTTTGATATATTATTTCTTTCTTGCCGTTAGTCTCAGTACGAATTTCTGCAAGTAAATATTTAATAAACTAGAACTTTCAGGGATATTTAAATTATTTATACATAAGAATAGTTACGCGAGAAATTGATATTTTTAGAAATAGAACTTGCATTGTATGGCGGCTTTCTAGATATTTCTTAATTAATTACACACCTAAAAATATTGTTGTTTTAACCAAAATACTTTGCTTCTATTAAAATTGTAATTGATATTACTTTTAAGCATAGCTGTGCAAAAGTGGATAGTCGCAAAATTCGCGCGTGCCGTGCATACTACCCATGTTGTAGCACAGACAAAATTAAAATTTTTCGAAAGCTTTTTTTAGCTTTGCAGATAAATTTTCCTTGTTTTAAATGAAAAAAAAATCATTCTTTTTTTTTATTTACTGCAACAAAATTAACTACGATACATCACGATGGTAAATTATTGAGAAAAGCATTTTCACGACGGAATCCTATATTCCGATCGGATGACTTGTTGGACTATTGGCGTGGCGCTAATGTTGAATTATTGGTATCCCCGAAAGGGATGCGGGATTAACCGCGTACTAAGAGTCATGTCTCGTAATCAAATGTGTTGTATATCGTTATATATTCTGCTTAAGACACGTAATTGCAACGTTTAAAGTTAGAAATATCACCTTGCATTTACGATTGCTTGCATAAACGATTTTTATAATGCATTTATTAACTTTATATCGATGTATATAGCAATATGTGATGAATTTGAAGTGAAAGAAATATAATAAAATATCCTCGATAATGAGAAATCTTAAAGTATTTAATAAATTAATCTTGAAATTTTATAAATTACTCTTTTAACGAAGATCAACATTCTTATCTTATGCCGAGAGACAAATAACAAATAAGGAGAGGTACGCCCTTTTTCCGTCCATTTAAAATTGTCGATTTAGAATCGACTGTGACCATCCCATTGTTCCGTCTACGAGCAGGAGGATGAGAATACGAGGAAAAAGTCAGAGCAGAAAGGAATTCGAATTTCTCGGAGCTTCTCCAAAGAGGAAGCGGAGAAATAACTTCGAAAAGGTCCCGCGAAGGCTTGGTGGAGATGCACGACGGTCCAGAGGAGAGAAGCAAACAAACCTACTTCGGTACAGTCAGTAACAACCGGCGGAAGTAACGGAGCCCTTCGCGTTCCTTGAAGAAGGTCGAGTCGGCTCGAAATTAAGTAGCGGCAGTTAGAGATATGTCAGACGAGTTTTATTAAGCGGCATAAAAAAAGAGATTTGTAGACTGACTGAAGGAAACGAGTGGAAGCAAGAGAAAAGGAGGGAGAAGGAGAATACCTTACTTCGTGGGGTAAGTCGTCCCGCGAAGCGAAGACGATTCCTCGGTTGCGAAACTCGTCTACAGCGGCAGTAAAGAATAGGGGAAACAGACAAGGGACCAAGATATGAATTTATTATTAAGAACCGCCTAAGGGGCAAAGTACCCCTGTTTCTTGATATCCGAGCGCATTTTGTGCTTGTGTCTTACCTCGTCTTTACCCCCCTTGAGATCCCTTTTTTCCTTCGCGACAGAGATCCGTTCTTCTCTTTTCTGCCCCACTTGAAAAAGCTCAAATTTCCTGGCTAATTTATTTCGCAGTCGAGTCAAACTGCTATTTGTAGCGGCGTTGAAGCGTGGGCTTAGCACGCAAAATGATGGGTAGAACGAGGAGCAAAACTTACGGCGTTCGCTTGGATAGTAACAATATCGTATTCATTCGACTCCTCCTTCGTCTCCCTCTACCGCATACTCTCCCCTTGTGATTTCCTTAACCCGAGCGTCGTATACATAATGCAACGTCCACCCCTGCCGCATCCACCAGTTCAACCGCTCTGTGTCGCTGCTAAGACGCGGATTTAATAAACGGCCGTTACGCGGCTGCTTTGTCGGCGTCCATAATGTCATTTTTCACTCCCCTTAATTCGGACATGCTTGCTTATGCATGGAACATTATCCCTTAACATGGCATCTGTCAAGAAAAAGGTGTAACACTAAATTAGTGTAAATAACGTAATACTTAAATAGATAACATTGCAACATTTTTTTCAGTCAGTTGATAGTTATCACTTTTTGTTATTTCATATGAGATCGTTGTCTTACTTTAAAAGTGATTCAACTTAAAAATTACACTCTAAATTTCTTGCAGTAAAATCTCATTCCAAGAGAATGAAAATGCAATCACTCTTGAAAAAAAGTGAAAATGTTTCACTTCTTGAAAAAGAATGACAATTTTCATGAGATTTCACTTCTTTGAAGTGAAAATTCACTCTAAAAAGAGTGAAAATTGGCATTCTTTTTGAGATTTCATTGTAAGAAATTTAGAGTGTAAGTTTTTCAGAAAAGAGAAAATTATTTCTCAACTTAACAAAAAATTATTAATCAATCAAATTATTTTGACAAAAAATATATATTTTTAATCAGAAGCGTATCCATTTTTTCAAAAGAATTCGTTTTTGTTATTTCACAATTCTTAAAAAATTATTTATTGACTAAAAATTATAACTATTTTTATGAAGTTAAATTAGTTTACTTTTGATAATTGATGTGATGATGTTTACTTAATTCATTCATGGTAATAACTCAAAAATTATATATTTTTATTTTACTTTTGAAATTAGGAAGTAATATATTAAATAAGTAATATATTAAATAAGTTACTTTTCTCTTTATATGAGCTTAAAATATGTTGCAACATTATATTTTATTCATCACTTTATCATAATTATTTGATTGTTTCTATCAAAAGTCAATTAAATTAATTAATCAATGTATATATATATATATATATATATATATATATATATGATATTCCTAAAATCGCATTTTTACATATAACAAATCTTGATATCATAAAACATTTTCGGAAGACAATTATAATGCGACTCGCGACAGTAAAAATCCCTTAACACTTAACAAGCTCTTGATGAAATTCTTGCAAACGGAAAACTTCTCGTTGTACTCAAATTCCTTCTGCAAATCCATACTGAGTTGTCGGACTTTGAAAACTTTCGCGGTCGCGTGGTATCGTGGCTCGCAAAGTTCTACGAGCTTTTCATTTGGATTTGAGAATTTCACTAACGAATTCTTCAGCGTAAGATGCAAACGAAGTCGTGGCCCAGCGTGACTTTGATAAATTTGTTGTGAAACTCTTTCTGCACATGCATTCCGGACGCTGCTAACGCAGCGGCACTTAGCAATTTTGCCGTTGGAGTTGTACGGAGGGACGAATTTCACCGAAAATCTCGTTTAGATTTTGAAACGTTGCCGGCAAGCATTTTCTCGCTGATATTCACGCAGATAGTATCTCCACGAGAAGTTATATTCTTAACTTATCCGAGGGGTGTCCTCCGAAGAAATATTCATTTCTAGATTTTCAGCTACATTGATATTCCTATTTCTTGAACAATTTTGGAATATCATGAATATATCATGAATTACATCTCATGAGAACGTAACTGTTTTATTATTGTCAATCATGCAATTGCTACGGCATTATTGCAATTAAGTGCTTTTGGAGACTTTCAGTAAGACATAGTATTTGAACTATTGTTATTCATGTATACATTTTTATAACAAGTCTATGAAAAAAGCTAAAATAAAAACAAAATTTAAAATTTTTTAATAAAACAATTTTTTAACAATTATAATGCTGCTTGCTTGCACTCTCGTAAAAAAGTGACACAATAAAAATCCAAATTGTTCGAGAAAGAAAAAAGAAAAAAAATTGCATATTTTAAAATTAATTATTTATTATAGTAATATTAAACATAATTTAACTTAGAGCTAATCAAATTGCTTGTTTCGAGTTCTCTAGAATAAGTAATGCAGATATTAATATTTATATGTTGCTATCGTCTAAAAATTACTCCTATTTTGATTTATTATTTTTATTATTTTTCTTGAAAAGTATTTGAAATCAACCATATTCCTTTTCAAAGCTGATGTATTTAAAACACAATATATATTAATAATAAAAAATTCGAAAAATTGTAACGTCGTGCCATTCTTCTTGTGGAGATGCGATGTGTAGCATTTTACTTATAATATTAAACTTATACTGATATTTATTTTATATAAT